ATCATTCCCGGGGAGAACCAAATGAAATAATCGGTTTGTTCAATCAAAATTGTATTGGGGATGCGAATACTTGGTGAATTAAATGTATGATCTTTCTGTATGATGTGAATTGGAGAAAGATGAGTTCTTAGACCTGATGAATATATATGATGATGGATTACAATCATCTAGGTATAAGGGAAAATTGGACAAGAGATGAAAATTCTTCTGATAGCCTTAGTCTCGGATTTTTGATTTGGTTTAGGCTGAGCTAGAGTTTGGGTTTGGGTTTGGTTAAGTGGTATATACTCAAGTTTGAGGTTTTTTCTGCTTTTACTTTTACCTTTGCTTTTGCTTTTAATGGGGTATGTTTCTGTTTCGTATATGCATTGCTTTTGAAATGTTTTGAATGTGCTTTTGATGTATTTATACTTGGGCTTGAGTTTGGGTTTGAAGTTAGAGTTGGGGTTAGAAGTCGGAAATTGTTTATATATAAATAAAGATATAGATAATATATCACAACTCTACAAAATCTCTTTCTATAATTAATATTTTCGTACTCAACACGATAGGATAGTTTATTAGGCCCGGATAATTAAGAGTGGGATAGATAGTCTCTCTCCTCTCTTCTTTTCTCTTTTCTTTTTTAGAATAATAATAACAGTGGAATTTTTGTGAAATTAGTGAGTGAGTGAGTGTTTTTGGATGTGTGTGTGTGGATATGGATTGATATGGATGTATACTTGAGAGGATGATGTGTAATATATGGTATATGTGAAGTGATTTGGAGATTGAGAGTTGAAGGTAGAGATTTAAAGATTTAAGTAATGGGAGATGGGAGATGGGAGGTGGGATTTGGGGAATTGGGACTTGGAGAATTGTATTAGGTTTGGGCTGATTTGATTTGATTTGGTATGGTGCAAGATGCCTTGGTTGACGCCCTCTTGTTTTTCCCTGAAATATATAATGACTTGAAGATATAATATATATCTCCCACATCTTTTACAATATCAAAAATAAGACTATCTAATATATTTGAAATAAAT